TATTAGCTCGGACATGACAAAGTAAACATCGGACCCGGGGGTCAGAGATTTAGTCATAACTCATTTATTTTTTCGTATGTAGCAGAAATATTACGTCATGGGATTGCCAAAGCATACTAGATTACAGGAGATTTTTTTTAAGTTTTCTAGTATTTTTTTAAATATTTGTCAAAAATTCATTGTGACGGCCCCCTTAATGCGGTGTCTGGTGATGATCAAGCTAGCTATGAAATGTCTGTCGGTCCCCATGGTTCAGGAGCTGATGCCAGTAACAAAAATAGCCTCCTTTTCTGGGACTTTACAAGGTCCCAGAAATTGAGGATTTCTGGCTCTTGGTACCAGCCCTCTAACCCAGATTTTTGAATGTGGTACGGCATTTCAGGTAATACAGCCAAGGAGATCGACCACATCCTCATTAGCACTCGTTGGAGGATCCTCCAGAATTGCAGGGTGTATAGGAGTGCTGAGTTCTGTGGTAATGATCATAGATAAGTTCTGGCTACCCTCTGAGTACCCCTCAAAACTCCCTGTCGGTCCAATGATCACCCTAGGGTGTTTCATTTGGACAGGCTGAGGGAGGGGTAGTGTACCTAGGGGTTTGCAGAGGCAATTTCTGATCTTTTCATAGCGCTTGATAACCTGACAGACCCTGTAGTTCTGTGGGACACCTTCAAGCACGAAACGCTCGATGCAGCTCAAAAATCAGTTGGTGAATGCTCAAGAGCAATGCAGAATTTTATCTCGCGGGAGAAGCTGGAAGCTACAGATGCTTGTAGTGCAGCTTGTCTGACAGGGGATCAGGATTTACATTGTTCTCAGATACGTAGGACTCAGTCACTGTCGAGAAGGGACAAGGAACAGTTTGTTAGGAGTCTTGCTTGATGGCTTCTGTAATAGGTCCTTGTGCTGGATCATGGGGTTCTGATGGCTGGACCATGTGTCCAATCTCAGTTGCACTATGCGACTGGCACACAACCTGCTACATGCACAATCCATGACCGCCAACTCCGGCTATTTGGCCACTTGGCTCGGTGCCTACAGGATGATCCTGCCCACCAGGTTGTCTCTGTACGAGACAACCCCGGTTGGAGGAGGCCTGTGGGACGACCTAGGAAGTCCAGATTGATCAAACCTGTTGTGAAGAGCTCGAGATGGACCGAATCCCTTCTTGGTGGCTCACCATGAGGGATCCTCATACATGGAAACGAAGGATGGTGCGACTTTGCGCCTCCATCGGCGTTAGCTCCCAATGATGATGATGAATGACTGGACGAGTGCTAGCTCCAGGGAGGATGCTATTTTCATGCTCAGGATCCTATTCTTGCCCTCCATATGGACATTAGAAATGGCATAAAAACTAAAAATGCTAATACAGAAAAAAACAGAATCACATTGTAAAGGGGATGCATAGTCTTGTCACCAGACAATAGTTCATTTGCACCCAGTCTGCAAGCCACACACCTCATCAGTGTGTCCACTCATATGAGTGTAATGCCGGTGAAGAGGTGAAGCATCTGGATACAATGGGTTTACTTTATGTGCTTCATGTTATGGTAATTTGATCAGGATGAATGTTATAAACCCTTTGCCACCAGATGGCAAGTATGTCATGCCATTCTTAGACTGGCCATCTTGATATGGGCTCATGTCAAGTCATTTTGCACTATGGTGAGTTAATATTAATTAAGCTGAAAAATAGCTCTCATTAGTTTTGTACCACACCTATAAACCATTGCTTTATCATGGCATATATGGTTAAAAATTAAACATGCCTACAAGTAGTGCACACCACCATTTTTACAATGGCCTCAGAAATTAGGCCTTTGAGAACTTTGGCCAGCCTGGAGGGACTAGGTTTGAAATATATTGATATTGATAGATGGAAAATTTACTGTGGTGTGGCTTTGTAAACTAATTCTGATATTGGTTTCTCCTCTTACAAGGCATGGCCAGATCATGGTGTTCCGTCCGATCCAGGATGTGTTCTTAACTTTCTTCATGATGTTAACAAGCGCCAGGAAGAAATCACATCAGCAGGGCCAATTGTTGTCCATTGCTCAGCAGGCATTGGGCGTACTGGGACATTCATTGTTGTGGATATGATCCTAGATCAGATCAAAAGACAAGGTAAGTGCATTGATGATATTTGATGTGTAAGTTTATAAAATTACATATCTTCAGTCTGTTGCCGGAAGTTCATTGCATGTTATTTTGCCACATGAAGTAGGGAACTTTTTATTTGAGGAAGGTATACAAGTTGGGGAAAGTCTTGTCACTTTGTTGAGCGATGTTTCTATAAAATGATAGTGACTTAAAAACATACCTGAATTCAGCATCACACTTTGTGTGTCAAATATGACGCAAAATGTTTTTTCATGTAGAGGGGAAAGTAGCATTTAGTTCTTTTCTTTCTGTTTCTGATTAGGCCTTGACTGTGAGATAGATATCCAGCGAACCATCCAGATGGTAAGGTCTCAACGCTCAGGAATGGTGCAGACAGAGGCCCAATACAAGTTTGTATACTTGGCTGTCCAGCATCACATAGAAACAGTGCAGCAACGCATCTCAGCAGAGCAGAAGAGTTTACAACTTGGCAGAGAGTATACTAACATCAAATACAGCAGTGAGGCAGCAGGTGGCATCGAGATGGGAAAGTCCCTCTCGCGATCAACTATCTCGCTACCCACCACACCATCGACAACACCGAGAGACCCTAAGCGACCCACATCCACTGCCACACTGCCCAAGACACAGTCAGAAAACCACCTTCCAAGGTACTGCAAATACATTGGCCTTGATAGGAGTTAGTGGGTTGGGAATATTTGAAGAAGAGAGTATGTTAGATCTCATAAAGGGTTTGTCCTAGTGACTAGTCCAGTGGGTGGATATTACTATTTTTACTATTTTGTTAGCACCACCTTATCCCCAAGAGGGGAGTCCTCAGGTATAAAAGATTTTTTTAATTTTCCTTCTTTTTTTCTCTCACTCTCTTCATTATTATAGCATAGAAAATAAAATTTACATCATATTGATAATGGTGTTCAATGACATTAAACTGGTTCAGCATTATCATCTAACATTTAAGATTTTTCAGTTTCAACTTATAAGAAATAAATCACCAACCCACGTTCAGTGCTTACAAAATAAACTAGCCCAACATCCCAGGACAATATTTTTCCATCAGGATTCCAAAATACAATAGGAGCCTATCTAAACATTACCCTAATTGACAATACTCACCAACAGGATGGCAAGCATACATGTCATGTCTATCGCGTCATTTTGTTTACACATAGATGGCTCCACAATGTGCAATCACCAAGGTGTCAATCACTAGTCCTACCTAGCTCACCTGTTTACCCTTGCTTGTCCTTTATTTTCTGAAAGGTTTACTAATTGGCTCCATGGTGGCTGAGCACTTTGGGAGTCATCTATGTGCAAAAAGGAAATGTCACTAGACAGAGTATGACTGACCAGTGCCATTACATTAAATTTCCTCCTTATTCACTAACAATTTTTTTTTTTTTTTCCTTTCTTCACTTTTGACGTGCCATTAGGAGGAGAGACTTTTTTTCAGGGTTGCTAAGATCATTTTGAAAAACAGAAGTTAGAAGAATGCCTGTCAAGTCTACCTAGGATTTTAAAATTTTGCACCAGGTGTTCCATACTTAATCCCAGTGTATTTTGAATAGTTAACTGAATGTTAATAAACAAAACTTAATTAGACAATTAGATTTTATGTATTCAAGAATAATTACAAGTAACACTCAACCCAGTAATACCAGGAATATGGTCTCTCCACTATGATTTTGTTTTATTGATTTTTTAACTTACAAGATCTACCTTAATCTCACCTTTTACACCATTCCTTCATTTTTTTGGTAGGAAAAAAGGTTTTATTTTCATCTTGCTAGTGCACAGTATTAGAAATTGGCAAGTGGCCAATAACAAAGAAGTTTCTCATCAGCATCCCGCTCATTTGGGTTTTAAACATGTTGGACACTTAACCCATTAGATTTGAATATTTCACTGCCATCACATGGCCCAAAATACAGGCATTAGGCTTATGTTAGTGGTCCCTTTGCTGGGAATGTGGCTTGTAAGTGGGGTTCATATAAACACTCATGTGTGATGACAAGACTCCCCTTTGCAATGTTAATTTGTTATGTTTTTGGCATAAGCATTTTCAGCTTTTTTGCCTGAATTTCTCATTTGATTTACTCTATCCAGATAGTAGTAGACTGTTTTCTTTCTGCAGACTTCATATCATCTCTTTAGGTAGGCTATAACTCAGTGCAATAATAATAATGATAAGTAACATTTTGTTATTTGTGTAATTAAATTTTTTTTTTTTTTCTTATGATACAACCTGTGTGCTCTTCCAGTCATTCCACACTCATTTATTGATGGAAATAATGCCAAAGCCCCTTCCTAAATGCCAAATAAGTCTAATCACAATCCAAGAGCTTTCAACGTAAATGCTCACAACGTGAAGTTTGCATCACCCCAGCCCACAACCCAATTTTTCCCTCCACGTCACCTGCCCAAGAATCCAAATTTTTTCATGACGTGCTAGTCACGCCATCTGGATCATAGGGGTTAATTGCACAGAGCTAGAGCTTATAACCAAATATTTGAAAAAATTTAATGCATCTCTTTAGATGCCCTATCTAATAGTGATACCAAACTAATAATACTGGTATTGTCAGAGAAAAAAGAGCTGCCTCTGATATGCTGAAATGGGTGATGTTGTTATGCAGTACCATCCAAAGCCCAGTCAATAGTAGCCATAACATGAAATCTGTGTTCAAAGAGTTGATACTCTTACCATCATTACTAGTATTGTTTTTATTAGTAGTAAAAGTGTTATTATCAATCCTAGTATTAGTGCTAATATTATTATATTGTTAATGACCAATGATAGTAATGAAAATACCAATTTGTTTAATGGTTTAAACAAATAAATGTGCTAAACATCAGGGTTATATAGTTTCGTAGGAAATTAAAGGGATTGGGTAAATACCAAGCAACTGACTGCTTGGTTATAAAGTTCTTGTAGTGTCATGTAAATTGATGGAATTAGGTAGATACAAGTAACTGTTGGTTATGAAGTGCTTATAGGGTCATCTAAGTGTAAAAAAAGATAATGAAAGCAAACCGTAGCAGATAGTGCACTTAAGCATTCACTCCCAGTGGCAGAGGGATAAATGTTATTAGTCTAATCTCTTTCCACTGACATTATTAAGCCTTCAATGTATATTGAATTCAGAAAATGTTTATGGCCAATATTCCTGTGGGCATACTTCAGTTGAAGTTGGGAGGTCATCTGGGATACACTTGGTAAAAAAGCAGCATTTACCATCCTTAAGTAATTAGAAAAGGGAAACTCTGGCTTACTTATCTTTTGTCAAAAAGGGAGTCACTGCGTCCAAATGATTAACAAATGGGTTGGAGATTTTAATTTCTTATATTGTTAACCATGAGTTAAACAGTCCTCATCTATAATGTTGATGAAAATACTGAAGCAGGTACTCAAGGTTTATATGTAATACTCTTTGCACTTTCAATTCAGTTAGGCCAAGTAGGTTAACACTAGTTACATAGGTAAGCACTGATAGGTGAGGCTTGGATGTTAATCTCCTGGATCTGGGTCTCTTGATACCTGCAGATGGCTCAAAATCTGGCATTGGACTTACTTGTGTGGCAACTCTCCCAAGTGCGTGGCTCGTACTCCTAGACCACACAAACACTTGTGTGCATTGTCAAGACTCATAGCCTCCCCTGAGCAATGTTACCATCTCAATATTCTGCAATTTTTTTTTTGCTTTTTTGCCATTTTCCAGGGACTATATTTTTCATTTGATATGCTCTATCAAAATGGTATTAGACTGCTTTCCTTGCACAGACTTAATGCCATATCTCTAGGTAGTCTATAATGCTATATAGTAATAATAATGATAAGTAACACCTTAGTGTGTCCTCCCTGGAGCCAGCACTCTTCCAGTCATGGCTCATGGATGGTATATTCCACACTCATTTACTGACAGAAATAATGATAGAGCCCCATCCTAAATGCCCATTGAGTGTAAGCACCCTCTAAGAGTTTTGTGCACTTGTGGCAAGTCATTCCCATCACTCCAGCCTTTAGCCATAGACAAATTTTGTCATGATATGACCATGTCACCCAGATCCAAGAGGTTAATAAGTATATTGACAGAGTTTACAATCAAGTAATTCTAATTTTACTTTCTTTATATATGTTTACTTAAAATGCACATCTTTCTTCAACAATAAGAAATTGTGATATGCCTAAAACAGTTCAAAATATGAGAAAATATTTTTAAGGTATTAAATTCATTTTTTACCAAAGAAAAATTCTTGTATTTTTTATTAATACCAAAGAAATTTATGACCTGAGAAGTTGATTTTCCTGCTAATCATTATTCCCATAAGAGTAAACATCTGTTTTTAATCCTTTTAATTTGAAATATTTCAGGTAGATTTAAAGCATTACATTTTTTGAATTTTATTAAGAAGTCCTTGAATAAGCAGTTAGAACACTTTTGCTGATAAAGTAAACACTATAGTTAGCCATTAGAATATAGAAAAAAAATGTGTAACTGTGTGTTGTACGACTATTAGGTGTGTAGAAAACCTGTTTCATTATAGTTTAGGTGTGCCATTTGACCTCCCTAATAATAATAGTAGTATATTTTCCCCTGGTAATGTCAAATGAAAATATTATAAAAAATTCAGTATGATTAACATGTCTTTATGTTGAGAAAGAAATGATAAAAGTGAATAGTTAAGCAGATAAAGGACGTCCTGTGTCATTATGCTTTTATGATATCACAAAATTTGTTGGCAATAAAATTGCATATGTCACTAAGGATAGGAAATTGAGGTTGTTTCAGAGTTTTGCACTTTCAGAACAATAATATAGTTTGTACATCTAGCCTATTCAAAAAGAAGGGAAAGAGAATGATGATAAATAGCCATAATAATGACAATTCTTCTGAAATAATTCAGAAGTAAAGCCATTATTATTATTAGTTTGTGATATTATTGAGCCATGGCAGGTATATGTATAAAAAATTTGTGATTAATAAGTATGACATTTACAGGAATAAGATCTGAAATGTATTATTAGATATTTAGTTCTTTTTTTTTTTCTTTTGCACTGTGTGCAGGATTCTCCACACTTTTTAACAATGTGGTATATGAATTGGGATTAATGTTTAGGACTATCTATATAGAACATTTTTCTCTGGATTCCCTTTCATTTGATATAGTACCAATTTTTAACCAGCAAGTTTTTGAAAAATATGATGTGGAGGAATCTGACAATGCACTGAGATGAAAAGGGTAAAAAAAAAGTGTTTGATAATGAATTCTGTGTTCCTGACCTTCCCCCCTAGCCGACGAAGACATTCAATTACACCCAAGACAAAGGTTCGAACATTTCATCTTAGCCTGTTCTCTTGCTGATTCTAGATTTAGCAAGCATTTAATATACATGGATTTATTAGGATTGTTCTGTGTCTTCTTTTTTCTGTGCACCTTAGCTTGATCTGATCACATATTCAGTTCTATTGCTTGATATTGCTATGATGATGAAAGACTGAAGTGTACAGTATTTCAAGAATCATTTTGTGTTTTGTTTGTTTTTAGATGATTGTTCTATTCCATTTTATCAATGGCTATGGGATAATGTCCTTTTTATACCTTGTAAATTTCAATGTGTGTATGTACATATATATATATTATATATATAATATATATATATATATATATATATATATATATATATATATATATATATATATTATATATATGTGCATACATACATATATATATTACATATACATATATATATATTTATATATATATATGTATGTATATTTTACTATAATTATATATATATATATATATATATATATA